ACTCAGTAGGAGAATCAGAAAAAAGCTTTACAGTAAGGAATATGCAGAATAGAGGAAGTAGCAAAGTTCCTGTAAAAGGTTTATCTTTAATCGTAGACATGTTTTCTCTCTGCATTATCTTCTATGTTCTGTTATTGCCTTTCCCGGAAAGCAAAATTCTTTAGGTACTACATCCTGGAGTTACTGGATTTCAAACTTCTGAGTATTTTAGTTTAGTTTCAGTGATTATATTATATATTTTGTATTCAATGTTTGTGTTATTGCATTTTGCATTAATATTTATTTTGATAAATTGTTCGAATTATAGGATTCAAAGGCCAGTAATACGAAGATCATATTTGATAGTGACGATTCTCATAAAGAGCAAAATGATATCATTTCGAAGAGCGTTCGTTCGATGGATGCCGACGGCACACGAGTATCAGCAAAGAATGGCGTTGCTCTGTTTGAAGATGAGAACGACGACCAGCACCAGTTTTCATATTCAACCGACGACTTTGGAATCAAGCCTCAGTTCTTTTCAGAGGCTGGACAGAGGGTAAGAATCTATTTAGATTATTTCATTTACATAAGTTTTTAAAAGTTCGGATTTCGTGAGGTAGATATTGAAGTAGTTTGGTAATATTGAAATTCAGGGACGGCGGCTCGAAAGAATTTGTCATCTTAGCTATAAATTTATGCCCTATTGTTCAGTGTTATCCATTTCTTTTTCAGACTTATTAGTTAGACCTCGCATATTCTCATAATTGTGTGCGATATCCGTGAATATGTATCATAAATCCTGAAACGTTCCGCTTTTTAAACAATATCAACCGAGGTTCGCCGATCTATCGTCAACGGTGGATGAGGGTTAGTGGTGATCGTTTATTCCATGCGATAATTATCGTAGTCACCGTCAGCAGCTTTCAAATGGTAATCTACGTTGTCATTATCATTACTACTGTGGAAGATGACAAGTACGATGCTTGCTCTGATGAGAATGATTATTAGCCTGTCAACATCAGCGTTACCACCGTTGTTATCCTTGTTTTCATTAATGTTATCGTCTTTACTGATGAGATGTAACATTTATTCATGAGTACAGTTTCATCCGTTATTATCATTTTGTTCATATATTAAACTTTAATGTCGTTATTATTTGCCTTTTTATCATCGTTAAGTTTAGCAGTACTCCTTAACGACGTGGTTGTTTTCATTAACATTATCATAATGATCATTACAGCATTCATGATTGTCGTTGTTCTCGCTAACGTCATGAATCTGAGTGGCAGATAAAGATTAGCGGAGAATAGTAGCAGTTTTCAGTCCATTCTTGTCATTATCGTTGCGGTCGTTATAAATTATTAGTTATCAGTTATCATCAGTTTTATCACGATGATCTGCAGATGTTCGTCGTTGCCCTCGTGGTAAGCGAATAACGAGTTGCAGTAGTTATAAATTCAGATTCATCATCTCCACCATGGTCATGATTATTATGATCGTCATCGTCATTCACGCTTTCACGCCGCCATAATGTTAATATCCTTGTCGTAATTTGTACATGAAGTATAGCATTAATCGTTTGTCCAAATCAAGTGATCATCATAATTATCTTCAAGCTTATTGTCATGAATTTTTCTCATCATAATCATCGTCTTTTTTATCGAACCATTTTTGCCGTAAACCGTTGTTTCGTACACGTTTGTCTGATCGAAGTTTGTTTTGTAGCTTCTTCGGCATCAGTCGAAATTCAATGGCGATCCACGATTTAAAATGGACGACAAATTCTTGGGTGACTTCGAATCTGATAAAGAGGAGCAGTCGCAGGAAGACGAAGCTGAAACTTCAAAGGACGACGATGTTCAGAATGAACGTGCGAAACAGTTGTCCATCGCGAAAAAGGTCTTGGGAGAAGCCGCTACGAATCTCCACGGGAACATCGATTTTGCCATGTCCCCTGCCAAGAAGAAAAAGCGTCATTTCGCAGGTGCTCGCTTCAATCCTGACGACCCATCGCACTACATCTACGAAGTGTCGAATCATCCCCAAAAAGCGGCAGAGATCGATGAGTTCCTCGGCCAAGAGACAGATGAAAGTGAAGACGACGAACAGGGTCAGATAAAGGTTGGTCTCGACTGTGACACGAACGAAGCCCGACAAGCCACATTTGGTGACAATCGCTTGTCAAATCTTGTCAGCCCTACGGATGACACAGACATTGCTGGACGGCAGCCTTCATTCTCCTTTAAACTGAAACCAGAATTCATCAGATCTCTCAAGGATGCGTCACAGAAACAGGACATGAAATCCAGTTTC